TCCTGACTTGATACAGGACATTTTAAGAAAAAATGGTGGGTTGAACCTGGTTTTGTGGCTAAAATTTAGTCCCTTATGTAACTTCCAGTCACTTTATTTAAATCTGGTACCTTGGGTTACCCATGTCCCTATATTGAAGTCTGGTCTGTTGGGCTGCCTCTTGTTAATTTATTGAAACATGCTCAATTGAGTTGCCTCTTGTGACAATTTTGAAACTTGCATATTTAGGGAAACCTTTTATCATTTAATTGAGATCCGCTCTTTGGGTTGCATCTGATAACTTTGATGATAGCTTCACATAGAGTTTCTTGGGTTACCGCTTGTTACTCTATGGTAACCATTGTTTAACTGTGGTCCCCTCAATAAAATATGTTCAATTTTGGATATTTTTTGGTCCATTTTATTGAAATCTGCTCTCTGGGCTTGTCTGTCTTTAATCTAATGAAGTATTGTCCTTTTTTAAGATGTTTTAGTCATTGATGAATTATCATTTTCTGACTTGATGGATTCCTAATGTTTTAATTCCATCAATTAAATTATAAACAGATACTGATTTTGGTTACCTTTATTCAACATATACAGATACTGACTGGTTACTTCTTCTCATCTTACACAAATGCTGACTTTAATTATATGTTCTACTTAGCCAAACTAAACCGAACATCAAATAGTTATCAAGTCAAACACTTGTTTAAAGGAATAGCTCACAAGTATATATGCAGCAAAGTTTTATTTTATTGAATAAACAAAAATTATTAAATGTCCATCAAAAAACATTTGGACTTAGAATATCTACAAAAACAGAAAAAATTATCATGTAAGAACATGTAATTATTAAATAGGTATGAAAAACAAATATGGGTCGATGCCACTGCTGGTGGACGTTTCCTCCCCGAGGGTATCACCAGCCCAGTAGTCAGCACTTCTGTGTTGACATGAATATCAATTATATGGTCATTTTTATAAACTTCCTGTTACAAAACTTTGAATTTTTCGAAAACCTAAGGATTTTCTTATCCCAGGATAGATTACCTTAGCCGTATTTGGCACAACATTTTGGAATTTTGGGTCCTCAATGCTCTTCAACTTTGTACTTGTTTGGCTTTATAACTATTTTGATCTGAGCGTCACTGATGAGTCTTATGTAGACGAAATTTCTATGGTGTGCACATCCCTTCGAATTTCGGTAATGCATAACATGAATACACTTAGATTTTTATATTCTTAATTGTTTTAAAATTCGATAAACAACTGTTGCCTGTCCCTGATTTAGCTGTTTCATATTCTATGTACATCTTGAAATGGATAGTAAAGGTTGTTAAAGATATAAGTATTAAGGATGTTCACCTCTGAGGAGCCAAAAATTTCTAGAATTAAACTTTTTTTCTTAACCTGATTTTTGGGTTTATATGACTGTAAAAAAGTAATTGGTGAAGAAAAAATCATATGGTGGTGCACTTCTTTTTTTTTGCTACGGCCCTTTGAAAGTACCCAATTTTGATGATTATCCCATTTTTCACCAGTTTTTGCCTATTTTTAGGCTATTATCGTGAAAAAAATCACAGTTCTACAATTAAACTTTTTTTCATACTTTCAATAAAGATGAAGTGGACCAATCTGAATAAATTAAACTTAAAAAAAACTATAGGTAGGTGTTAATATAAGAAAGTTTTATCATATTTTGATGCTTTTTCGTGTCAAATTTACCATGCTGTCAATTTTGTAAATTCATGATTTTTCTCTTTTTTAAGAACAAAATGCATATTATTTCAACTTCTTTGTTATAAATGATTGAAAAAATACATATCTTAGAAATTTGAAAAGAAAAAAGTGATATGGGATGTACAAGTTTCTGGTAAAATCATTTCTTGTACCTCTCACCCATTTTCTCAAAAAATTGGCTAAAAAGAGTGACTTGATTGGTAATAAAATTTTTAAAAAAGTTTATTACTCAGAAACTACTTATTGTAAATACACAATTTTTTCACAAAGTTCAGTTTGATTATGATATTTATTAAATTCATTGCTATTTTTCACTTGTATCACATGTTTTGGAAATAATTCCAGAACGAGATTTCAACGAGACTGAAACGTCAGAAGAATACATCCTTAAGACAATTAAGTTGACTTTAATTTACATAATTGTGGAATTTCAGTTTTCAAGTTTCAAAACCCCCAGCTGCATCTGCATATGGATTATATATTTTTCTATGTTGTAATACAATATTCTGGGCCTCAGTTTCAAACCATAATTTCAGTGACAGAAGGAGCCACAGAGCAGGCATTGAAGGAAAGGTTATTAACTGTCCAGTAAAAATAATATCGTCTTAAATTTACAGACGTAATGATAATTATGGAATAATTCTGCATAAACTTATCATAGATACCAGGATTACAATTTTGTACACCAGAAGCGCGTTTCATCTACAAAAGACTCATCAGTCACGCTCGAATCAAAAACGTTCAAAGATGACATTTTTTTGAGTCGTAGCTACAATTTCTATCTGATTTACCTTTTCATAACATCATCAAATGTAAATGATATACGGACATGATTCTTGCTAAGGGCAATAAGTTGGTGCCACTTTTGTAAAAGGAACTGCTCATCATTTGGTGAAGCCTCAGATAATCCCACATTTTTGAAAGGTTCGTTTTACTTCATTTTAATTTTCTGTAAATTGTTTTGTGAACTGCCTTAATTGTTTTTTGTTTTGTTTTTTTTTTTTGTTTTTTTTTTTGTCCGTTTGTTTCTTTTGCCGAGGAATGGGCCACGGTGGCGGATTGGTTTAAGTAATTCAACAATTATATCACTAGCCTGTTAACACTGAGGTTGTGAGTTTCAACCACGTACGTGGTATGTGCGTTCTGTCAAAGGTCAGTTGTTCTCTCCGGGCACTCCGGCTTTTTCAAACAATAACAGCTGACCGATATAGCCAGTAGGACTGAAAGTGGCGTTAAACACCAATCAAGCAATCAATCAATCAATTATTTTGCCAAGGATGTTTCTGTCTTCTGTACCCCTATTTTTTGACATTTTTTAACTATTATGTATGTTTGTTTTTCTCACACATTGTTGTCCATATAATGCAATTGTATGCGCCTGTCATATAAGTGAGAGGTTTAGCTAGCGAAAAAAACCAGGTTTAATCCATCATTTGCTACGTAAGGAAATGCCTGTACCAAGTTAGGAATATTCCTTGGTGTTCGGTATTTTTGTTATTTTACTTTTTTCTTCGACTTACTTTTGTTTTTTTTCTTCTTTCTTTTAAAGGCAGAGTAATCAAATATTAAAAAGAAATGTTTACTGATTTGCCGCTCTCAAAGTTTATTTTCAAGGTAAGGTTTATTTTTAGATATTACTAGACTAACAATTTTCTGTTGATAAAAAATAAAGAGATGTGAAAATAACTGCCAATGCAACAAGTATCACCTGAGGACAGATGACGTGACTGTAAGCATATATAGGTAACTGTGCGGCTTGATTAATGAACTAAAATCCTTATCATGATATAGTCACCTATAATGAGAGGCAACAGATACCAAAGAAACATTCAAACTCATGAGTTGAAAATTAACTGACAACGACAATTTGGGAAAAGGAGGACAGGATTGTGGTAACGACAATTGGAACATATAAAAGAGGGACGAAAGATAGCAGAGGGACAGTCAAACTCATAGATCGAAAACAAACTGACAATGCCATGGCCAAAAATAAAAAGACAAACAGACAAATAATAGTACAGATGACACAACATAGAAAACCAAAGACTAAGCAACACGAACCCAACCAAAAATTTGGGGTGATCTCAAGTGCTCCGTAAGGGTAAGCAGATCCTGCTCCACATGTGGCACCCGTCGTGTTGCTTATGTTATTACAAGTCCGGTAAATAGTTTAATTCGGTAAGTCACATTCGTGAAAAGGGAGGGTATTGTAGTTACAACATAAGGAACATATCCGATATCATATCCGTCGTCATCTGTGAAACAAATATTCCATGACGGTCAACCAAGTCGTGATGGCGTCCGTAAAAATTTACAAAGAGATGATTTCAATTTCACTACTAAAAACTCTTAATTCAATTGCTTCCTTGTGAGCAGCAACCCTCTATCACGGAAATCATGATAGAAAACGCAAGTCGTGGCCCTGGAATATCGTATCAACTGGGAGATATATACTCCGTATGCAGGCGCTGCTGGAATGTTGTTACATAGAAATTGAAAGGTAACAATTGGAAAGCTGAAATCATCTCTTGTCGGAAGTTTTGTTCTCAATCGACTTTCATAGACAACTGTCTGATGTAAGTCAATATATGAGGTAGACTTATTTGTATCTGTAGTATCCTTTATATCATAACGTTCGATTGGATAGGTGCGATTAACAAAGTATCTAAACTTGGAATAACGTAGTGAGAGGACATCATCTTTGAAGTGAAGTTTAAGGATATGAAAGGCTTCAACATGACAAAATCTAATTCAAACGAGAAAACCGACAGCCTGATTTGTTTTAAGACAATTTTACAAAACATATATATATATAACAGATACAAACGACAGCCAATTAATCAAATGCTTCCTACTTCAAACAGGCACATGCAGAATGTTGCTGGGTTGACACGTTTTTTAGAGCGTATTCATTTCCTAAACATCAGACACTTGTATAGCATCACAAAAAAAGAACAAACTGTGAATGGCTTAACACAACATATTGGTTCAAAACACAAAACCAACTAACAATAAAAACAAAAGACAAAAGGTACAAATCTAAGAGAACTTGCAATAAATAAATACTATTGTTAAAGTCAATTAATAACTACAGGATAAAACATTACGTCCCAGAATGTATCAATAAATGCATAAACAACGGATTTGGCGTACATAAACAGTCTTGGAAAAACATGCCAGTGTGCAATGCCAAAGTATAACAAGAGGCATTACTTCGAATAATCTGTTTTTATTTTGGATTATATTAATGTTATGTAAATCAGAACTTAGGAGGGAAAAACTTTATTGATATTTGGTACGGTACCTAGAGTGAACTACGTTAATTTATATATTATTCTATCATAGTCTAGACACAAAAAATTAATAACAGCATTTTTATTTCATAAGAATATCATTTATGTAAAAATCAATATAAATTATTCTTGTATCATTTTCAAACAGAATGAACTATGTAAAACATTATAAAACGCAATCGTTGTTGTACTTAAAATAAGTCAAAGATACCAAGTAAAAATAAGTCTCCAAAAGTCATAAAAACAGATAGAACACAAAATTACTAAATGACAAAAAGATAGCCAACAGAAAATAAAATACAATACAAAACGTAAAGTTTGGAAACATTAACCTTACAAAAACCTAGATAAATTAATATGTCTCAGTACTAGCACCAATCTCGTTTTGCATTTAATATTAGCATCCAGTCATTTGTGGCATCCGGTTTAAGTCATGGATCACGACATGGAACTGAAAATAATCATGGTAGTATGCGATACATATATTCCATAATATGGAAATAGCGACCGCAAAACTTTAAAAGAACATCTGGACATTTGCTACAAAAACAGATACTTGGTTCTTAAGCTTTTTTGTTTAAAGTACAGATACCATAAACGTTTTTATAGGGGAAATGGTTGATAAGATTATGATAACATTTATTGTACATTATTTATTGTACATTATTCAGATGTCAATGTTGTGTCATCTGTACTATTATTTGTCTGTTTGTCTTTTTATTTTTGGCCATGGCGTTGTCAGTTTGTTTTCGATATATGAGTTTGACTGTCCCTCTGGTATCTTTCGTCCCTCTTTTGCCTTAGTTTTACGTGCAAACGGGTTGTCATTTTACTAACGTTTATTTACTTTTTATATACTAGTATATATATCTTGCCCAATGTATCGCCGAGATGTCAATGTTGGAAAATTTAAAATTGAGAATAATCAAATATGTACATTTTGACTGATTTTTATCGGCAGACTGCTTATTCAACCTTGAATGTTAAGGTTATTCTTTTGCAACTTAATCATGTTTATTTGTTTCTCATTATTGAAAATTAAAAAGAACATTTAATAAATTATATGCGTCCGAAGCCTCAACAGTCCATGTCAACGTAAATTCCGAAAACCGAATAAGACCAGTGAACTGCCTTGTAGTAAATAACAAAAAATTTAAACAAAATACAGGAAGACACAGTCCAGAGTGTTCAATCTAAATGCAATGAAAATAAAAAAAGAAATACTCTAAATAGATAAACTAGAAGTAAATAAAGACTAAATTCTAAAAAATGTTATACTATGTTCAGTGATATAAATCAGTAATAATAGCAGTAGAAGAGCTTGTTGTTTCTGTTTCCACCATTTAGTGGGTGACTTCCACTGTTACTGTTTTTGTTGTTATTATCCTCGTCATCTGATTTGACGGTCTCCTGTCTAACAACCATCCCCTTTACCTGTTGGCATGGTGATGATGTAAAGCGTAATAAATAGAATGGTGTACCAGTTGGAAGAAGAATCTTAGTGCTGTATGGTCCATCAGATCTGTAAATAATGGAATAGGTCATAATGATTATATAAAACTTTGCAGATATAAGAATTTCATAATGACACATGTAAAATAATTAAACATCCCTTTCTTCCTCTCGTGAGACTTCGCAGCTGTTACCTTATCTTTATTTTGAAACATATGATTCTTTTGTGTTTGGTAATCTCTATTGGTTTTATTCACAAAATGGATAGACTCTGTCGATATAAAAGACTTGAATATTTAGCGCTTTCCGCATATTAAGTGTCGTATGCTGGTATTCTTACAAGTTTTCCGCCCTGGTTATATTGATTTATCGCTTTCATGTAAAGTTGAAAAAGTATTTAAAAAAATACCGAACTCCAAGGTAAATTCAAAAAAAGGATAAGTCCATAAAAACTGACAAAATCAAACATTATCAACTAACAGAACGAATGAAAAACAACCGTCATATTGCACGTTAATTTACATTTTTACCCAATCAGATTTATTTAATTTTCAAAATATAATACCTGCAACAGTAGTTTATGAGAGTATCTTTGTCATAGGTTCCACTAGGTAGTACACCGTCCTTGTCGTTGCTATTATTCTTATCTTCGTCATCCCAATAAATACTTCCTGTCTGAAAACCTAATAAAAGTAATTTCCACACATAATCTTCCAACTTTCTTACATGCAACTGGTCTTTTTGATCTTAGATAACATTAACAGTGTTATCATACTGTTATTATGTCATGAAAAATAAAAATTAATGAAAATAATCAGCACTTTTAATTATCTGTAATAATAGGTCCTCGAAAATTCATTGACTGCATGTCATATTTTCGATTTTTCGATTTTTTTATGACTGAGTCAAATAAGAACATGTTTCACAAAATTTATCTTTATCGGTATTCACATTTTTTAATTCAATTACATAGAATGTTTTGGATATTCAAAAGAAAAAGACATTGAAAATAAGTCAACAACAAATCTAGGTCTTCCTACCTTGAAATAGCTGCAATTGTTGATCTTAATTAATTATAAATTATACTTTATCATTTTTCGATCTTTGGTGTCTTATTGATAATTTGCAATCAAAATATAACATTAAAATGTTGCACATACAAATTAAAAGTATTTTTATTTTTATCAACTTTTACTGAGTATTCTTAAGGTTTAATATATACCTGGTGGACAGGATATTCCTTGTCTTAGAATACAGTAATCTCCACTTGGCCAACCTTGAGTTCCGGATATTGTTTGTTGGTCTTTGGTACAATAATAAAATTCCATGTTCGATCCAAAGGTACCTGTTAGTCAAACACATTGTTTTGTTAGACATAAATCAAACATGTAAAAATGTTGCAGTAATCGGGTAATTACGGAGTTATATTTAAAGTTATACTGATTGAATGGTTTTTAATTATAAGTATCTTGTTTTTAAACACTGATACAATGATCTGAATTTAATTCGAAAATAATCTGGAGTGCATAAGTTTAATAACTAATACCGTAGAAATGATGTCCATTTGTAATTTCGTTACTATTGTTTTTGTCTTCATTATCTTGTTTTCTCCATCCTTCATGCCACCCAGAGGGACATCCTGCTTTCGATTTGACTAGTGTATAGCTCCCTGCTGGCCATTGTACTGAATAATTTAAAAAAAACTAATTAAGCTTTGATAACTGATTGGTCCTCAAAAATTGTTTAAAAAATTAAACAAACATGTTTGAGATAGCTTGACAATACCGGTGTATCTTTAATACGATTGTTGTTTTATGAGTTTATTTAAGGATAAAACCTGTTTTGAGTATTTTCCATAATATTTTACATTTACTACAAAAAGATATAATGAAATTATAGATAATACGTTTAATATTCATTATGCAAAAGTATCGTACATTTTAAAAAGACGTTGTTGTTTACGATCCTGAAAATGATAATAATAATTTGCAAAAAGTATGTGCTTTCTATTTCATTTAAGTTACCAGCATATGCAGATGAAACTATGAGGATCGTTGTCAATATGGCCAGCATGTTTACGCAATGCATACCAGTATCGAGGAGCTGTAATGATTAAAGACACATTAAATATTTCTGTTATTGCAAAATATCTACAGCTGTAGCAATAAAACTTAATAAATTGCATAGCAACATTACCACATATTTGCAACAATAACTGCTTCCATTTGGACCACGGGATTTTTTCGCTGTGTTGAAGACCAATTGGTGGCCTTCGGCTGTTTTCTGGTCTTTGGTCGGGTTGTTGTCTTTTTGACACATTCCCCGTTTCCATTCTCATTTGTATTCCATTTGGACAATGTTTTCTTTAAATAATAATACATTTTGTTCTATCTATACCGTCCCTACCTGATTTAACCCTTACCTAATGAGAGAATGTGTCCATGTCTTCATTAATGACAAACAAAATGGTTCTTCATTTCCTTCTAGATTATTTTCTTTCTTACTTTTTTTCAATCTTAGAAATGATATCAGTAATAACAGGCATATGTAAGCAACAAGTACTTAATTCAAGAAATGTGTTATAAAATGGAATTGAAAAAAGAAATAATATCCTGTATCCCAAAAATTCTCATGCTAAACCGATTTTATTTAGTGAAAACAACATTCAGGGTAAACAAATTTCACTTACTAACAAATTGGAAAATTCATCAAAAAGTCCCAATGCAAACGTAGTTTCTATTTTTTCATCCTCTACGAATGCTGAAACATTTTTTTCTGAAATTTTTCAGTAATGATCTAATCTGGCATCAGCTTACATCGAATATTACTCTCAGTTACTAATTAACTACCACTCGTTGCAAAAACAAGGATATTTTATTTTGCAAAATATTTTTAAAATTTTCGACTTATAGTATAATATAATGATCCTATAAAAATCATATTAACTGTTTCTATAAACTTCTAAAAAAATACTATTATGAGGAAAAGAAAATACGTATTTCAAAGCCATTAAATTTAAAAGTAACATAGTCTTACTTACTACTTACGGTTATCAATCTGTCGACTGTGATGTGATTATCAAAACTGTTGAAATATATACGAGCTTTATCCAATAGAATTTAAGTACCCCAAGGCCTTAAACGTCCTACTTTTTAAAGGCATTTAACAATTTTTATTTTTAAGGACATAACACGATTTTTGTGATTATTATTAGCAAAATAACAAAACATTAAAAGATGACGAGTGATCAAATCTATTTAAATACACAAATTAAAATATCAATAAAGCGAGACGAAAATTCATTTTTGTTTTTTCTGCGTTGAAATACTAGATTTTGTTCTCGAAATTGCACATGACCATGTCTTCTTATCACATTGCTTTCAGATGAAATCTTATATGAGGTACAGCTAATGATAAAAAAAAATAAAGGACAGTTTGCGGTCAAATCAGCAGGTAATGAACCATCATATTGCTTTCAGTATTTAAGAACATTTTACCTGTCTTTATTTCGTGATTAACAGGTGAGGATTGAAATTCCAATGACTTAGTTTAACGCCTTCAACTTGAATGATGTAAAAATCCAAACCTCATACTCATACATATAAACTGTACATTTATAAATTTTTGCGATTTCTTTATAATTTGCGAAAATTCAACGGAAACGGTTCCAAAAAACAAACTCGTATATCAATTTTCATATAATGTTTTGTATTCTGCATTTCCTGAAATTGCAAAATATATCATTAACGGTATCATTTGTATTGACCAGATGCGCACTTCGACAACAAATGTCTATTCAGTGATGCACAAGGCTTAAATATTTGAAAATCGAAAATCTATGGAAAAGAGCAGACAAACCAAAAAGACCAAAAGTAAAGCCACACCCGTACAAAGAATTAGAACTATGAAATAGGGAGATACATTACTTAATTTAAATGATTTCGAACTTTTGTAACAGCTAATTTAAATAGAAAAATATTCGTATTTTCATGCCAGTATCGAAGAACCGGCAACTGAGCTGGTGAGTCCTGAGGGGACTTGCAGTCCCCCACCAGAGGTTTCGACCCAATTGGTACTAATAGTTAATAAGTGTTCGGTCACAAAGCTAAGTCTATGCACAAATTTCTGAAGTTACAGTAGTCCCATCATATACTCCACGGAAGAGGAGGTTTTATAAACAACAAGTATTTCCTTGTCTTTTTTCGGTATTAACATAAAAAAAAGCACGATTGAAATATCCCGTCTTAATATTGTATACCCACACTTCACACAAATACTTATAAATAACGAAAAATACACGGGTCCTCTAGATGTTCGACTAAACATGTTATTAAGTTCTTACTACCTTTCTTTAAACAGTAAAAGATGGCCTTCAGAAATATTGTGTCAATCAGATGTGGATTCTTATAAATTTTAAAGATCTACTCCAAATTTTTACAGTTTTGTTGTAATATCAAAACTTTTGATATTTCTACTCTCTACATGACTATTTCCCGTGCACAATGGCAAGTTCGACTAAGTCGTCTCATAAAATAGTCTTTCTATAAAGAGGTTAATCGTAGATACCAATATTTTGATTTCTACCATGAAAAAACTTCTTTGGAAAAATATACACTGATTCAAACAACAGATACACCGAAAATTATATGAAAAAAGAGAGGCGAAAGATACCAAAGGGACATTCAAACTCATAAGTCGAAAATAAACTGACAGCGTCATGGCTAAAAAAAGAAAAAGACCAACAGGCAAACAGACAAACAGACAAACAGACAAACAATAGTACACAAAACACAACACAGAAAACTAAAGACTGAGCATCACGAACCCCACCTAAACTGGGGGTGATCTCAGGTGCTCCGGAAGGGTAAGTAGATCCTGCTCCACATGTGTCACCTGTCGCGAAAATGCTTGACTTTTTGAACGACAACATATTTGTTGAGCTTGGTGCATTCATCTTTTAACAGGCATGGGTATTCAAAACTAGAAGGTCTGTTTGATATGATGATCTTTTCCACGATAATGAAACAAAAGAAAAATTCAAATTTGAATTTATTCACCAGGTGATGATTTCAATTTTCCAATTACCTCCATTGAAGGTGAAAACTTAAAATAAATAGAACTCTTTTCTAGATCATCCTATGCGAGTTTTTTTTTTTTTTTTGTATATTTTATAAAAGTACAATTTGATGGTGAATTATCAAGGTAACTTAAAGTATATTCAATAGTATACTAAAATTGGAGAAAGGCAAGTACCAGGGACGATTCTGTTTTCATATGACCTTCTTTACGTTAGATATCAGAGTAACATTATAATCTTTTAGTATTTAAATTTATCCTATATTTTCAATTAGTTATTCCTTTAATGTATAAAACATGTCATAACATCTATAAAAAAAACATTAAGATAACACTGAAAGGTGTACCTAATGGAATACGTGAGACAAAAAATTCAAATACAAAACGATGAAAATGTTACTTTAACATGAAACGTAAACAAGGCTTTCTCTAAACAGAATCGTCCTTTGCACTTGCATTTCGACAATTATAGTATAATGTTGAAATTAATGATTTGATAGTTTACAAACAAATTTACAATGTACCTGGTTTATAAAATTACAAAACACACACTTTCTTCTCGTATAGGATGAGCTAGTAAATAGTTTTATCCAACTTTAGAAAAATCACATGCCTTCACTTTCGATGGAGATAACCGATTTTGTATTTTTATATCTCAAGGACTCTTGGTTTGTTTGGGTTTTTTTTTATTTGTTTTTGTAATGAAACAGTGTTTTAAATAAAGCAACTATCAAATGACACAAATAACTAAACGACAACTTCAATGGCCCGATCTCCAAATCATGAATCAATTTAAATAGAAACTAATTATATGTTCCCCAAAAAATTTAAATCACCACACAACAAACATTTCTAGATACATCATAAAACAACGACTGGCTAGATCTTTACATTAAACAAGTGCTTTAACATGTAGACTAAAATTAGAAACAAAGCTAGTTTACCTATGTCCATATCTCGTATTCCAATAAGGAGATACAAATTAAGGTAACAATAAAACTGCGGGCCTAGATGATGTATCTAGGATGAAAAATTTTGTCCTGCATTTTTTTTTATTGGTAATCTCTGTCCTGCCTTTTTATTTTTCACTATATTCAGTCCTGCCTTTGTTTTTTATTATTTTATCCTGATTTTTTTTTCAAAAATTGTCATCCTGCCTTTTTTTTTTGCTAAGTTGCTCATCCTGCCTTTTTTTTTACTCAAAACTCATGCCCTGCCTTTTTTCAAATTTCATCCTAGCCCCCCCATAAAAATCAAATGGTAGCTCCCTTACATTTCTGCGATGTGATGTACAAAACCTAAACAAACACGGTGTGTTATCATCCAGTAAATACGACAGTCCATACACATATTTCTGTAAGTTTGATGATGTATTTGTTAAGAATAATGTAATAAAACTACACATGCAGAAGTACAGTGAAATTAAAACAAAAAATATCGAAACGTCAAAAGTTATAAAACAAAAATACTGGGGATTCATTTATTTACTTGGATACCAATTTTCAATGGATTGAGGATAAATGTTTTTTCGCGGATGTTTGATTTCGTGGTTTTGCTTAAGTCTCCTTACAGACCTATAAAAAATGTGAACTTCTTTGAACATTTAAATTTGTAATTGACCTATTCCCACGAAATCAACAAAAACATTGTGTTAATATACTATTGAAAGTGAATCCACAGTTCTTTAACCCGCAAAACGCTTATCACGGGTGTCATTCGGTATATCGAGAAAAATAATCGTGAAAGAATAACTAACGGTGGTCAAGCATTGTGATCGGATCGTGAATGCAATATTAAGTGTTATTCTACTTCAAAATGTGTGAACAGTCTGCTGTATTTTCAAAGGTTGGAACAAATCAGAAAAAAAATTATGTCTGTCAAAATGATTCAACTTCCTTAATAATACTGTGCACTAAGTTTAAGAAAAAATGCAGTACTTTTTAAGAAAACACATAAGGCGACACACAATCCTATGAGAATCATTAAAAAAATCACGTTTTGTATCTATAATGGTCACATTCCAATATATCATAATATACTTGAAACTTAATCCTTATTGTATCAGATAGTCAAGTAAAATAAAAATATGTTATTACTTCAAAAAGCTCATATTATTTTTGAAAAAGTTAATTTTGTTGGTTTTTAATAAAAATTGATCGTGAAAGATCAGGCAACGCATTATTTTGATCGTGAAAGACAAGGCGTGATCAGACTTAATGATCACAAAACAACTTTTTTTTTTACCAATTGATATACTTCTAATTGGTTGAAGCGTGTAATTACTTACTAAGAACGTAAATTAATGCTTTCATGTTTTTTGGTGTATATATATATATATCAATCCCATATTTATACCTGTTTTCATTTAAGAAACAATGCTACATGTATCTAGGCATCCAAGATTGAAAAAAAGATCCAGGAGCTTAAATTGTCGAAAAGTAAATATCTTTGTATATATAATGCTTATTACATCCGCGAATGAGTGAAACGAGAGAGAGGTCTGGTGGTCTTCCCCTGGAAATATCTTTATGTGTTCGTTTTTGTTTTCGTAAGGGTTAGATCAAAGAAGCTATATTATTAAATTTTACACACAGGTGTACTGAAGATTTTTTTTTCATTAACAATACACTCTTTTCTTATTGGGTCCCATTAATAATCATGAACTAGAGTTTACAGACACCAGATATACAGCTTCCTCGGCCTCATTTTTAGATATACACCCCGCATTTGACTACAGCGGTCATCTCAATACCAGAGTAAATGACAAACAAGGAGATTTCAATTTTGATATTATAGAAATTTTGCTCACCTTAGCAGCGATTTACCAACTTCATTCGCGTATGGAGTATACATTCCTCAACTTATACGATTTTCAGGAGCTTGCAGGTGCTATTCAGAGTTTGTAAAACGTTATCAGTGCCTGGGCAAAAAATTGATGAGCCAAGATTTTGTGAAAGAACGTCTCGTCCTTTTTTTTTAAAGTTCATTGGAAGGTACCAAGACCGAAAAGATAAATATTCAGTGTCTACTTAAC